GCACCAGCGCCAGCGACACGTCGGGCGTGCGGTCGCGCCACTCGCGCACCGTGTCGGCCGTCTCCTGGAGTGCCCTGAGCGGCCGCGGCACGACGGCGTACTGCGCCGGTATCTGGCCCTGCTCAAAGGCGTACGCCACCACCTGCGGGTTCTGCAGCACCGCGCCGATGAGCGCCGTGTAGGTGACCTCGGTCGGCGAGATGCGCATCTTGATCATGCGGTCCAGTAGCTCGAGCGCAGCGTCGATGCGCGCATCCCCCGCGACAGGGCCCGGTGCTGGGCCGCCTCGGCCGTCGGAGGACCCCGACGAAGCCGCCGTCGCCGTCGTCGTCCTCGCTGCTCCTCCTGCGTCCGCGCCTCGGCCGCCGCCACGGTGATGGGACGAGAAGAGGCTCTCGGCCGCCAGGTCGACGCCAAGCGCCTCGCTGCCCACCAGGCAGGCCTTGATCAGCGCCGTGTAGGTGACGGCGTTGGCGCGCACGCCCATGCCCTCCATCATTTCGAGGATCCTCCGCACCGAGTCGCCCGCCGGGTTGCCGCCCTTTCGCAGCAGCGCATCGAGCACCGTGGTAAACGTCACCACGTCCGGCTTGAGCTGCAGCTGGCCGACGATGCGCAGCGTGGCAGCGAGCGAGGCCAGGTCTCCGCTGCGGCCGTGGGCGCGCAGCAGAGCGTTGACCGTCGTGATCGACGGCGGCGGGCCGCGCTCCTGCATCTGCACCAGTACCGCCTGCGCCTCGTCCGTCTGCCCATTGACGCAGAGGCCGTGCACGATGGCGTTGCAGGCCTCGGTGGGGATGCGGAATTCGTCGGTGCTCGACGCGTGCCGCCGCCGCATCTCCTCGAAGAGCTGCCGGGCCGCGCCCGGCTGGCGGTTCCGGAAGAAGATCGAGATCATGGTCGTGCACATGGTGGCGTCCGGCACGATGGCTGGCGGCGACGCTGCGGCGGCCGACGGAGGGGCGCCGCTCGCGTCGCCAGCGTTGGTGGCTGCCGGTTTCGGGGCAGTGATCTGGTGCCACGTCCGCACCGCCGCCTCGTAGTTCTTGGCGCGCGAGTAGCCGTCGAGGAGGGCGTTGTAGATGCGCAGTGTCGGCTGGAAGCCGAGCTCGTGGTACTTGGCCCACACCTTGAGCGCGAGGTCCGGCTTGCCCGCGGCCAGGAAGCCCGACAGGCACACGGCCCAGCACGACTCGGTCCAGGCGAGGCCGGCGGGGCCTTCGGTCTGCTCCTCCGGACGCCCCGGCTTGGCGCCCTGCAGCGGCAGCCAGGCCTCGCTGCCCGTTGTCGCCTCCATCGCCGCCTCAAACAGCGGCCATACCGCATCGGGCCGCCGCAGGTTGAAGAGACTGCCCAGCAGCCGGGCGATGCGCCGCGAAGAGTCGACGCTCGATGAGTGGCAGCGCGCCAGCTCGGCCTGCGACACGAAGCGATCCACGCGGTCCCTGAGGACCCGCAGGTCTTCCATGTCGGCCGGCACAGCCGGGACTGGAGGCGGAGGCGCGGTCGAAGACAACGACGACGACGACGAAGACGATGGTGCGACGCAGCTCAGGTCGCGCGACCGCAGCTGGCGGAAGAGGTCGTTTGCCACTTCGGCCACCTTGTTCGGCTTGAAGAATGCGTTGAAGATGGCGCCGATATCGATGCGGCGCATCGTGGCCACCAGCCCTCGGAGGTCGTCGCGGATCGCCTTGGCGGTGACGAGGCACGCCAGCAGCTCGTGGTACATGGCCTGCTGATCGAGGCGGCCCAGCCGATGCGGGGCCTTGGCGCTCGGTGCCGTCGTCGTCTCGTGTGACGATGCAGCTGCAGCTACGTCGTCGTCGACGGCCATGCCCGCACCAGCGCCAGCTTGTCCCGCGTCTTCGCCTGCATCGTCGCCGCCGGGCCTTGCCGCGTCCTGAGCGGGGAGGGATGCTTTGGTCTGGGCATCGACAGCCTCTTCACCGCGGCCGGCGACGACGCGCTCGACCAGTTCGTCGACCAGTTCGAATCGGCGGGCGATGATGGCCAGCTTGGCCCATCCCGCGAGCAGCTGGGGATTGCGCGTCTCGACCGCTGCCAGCGCCCAGCTCCAGCAGCGATCATCCCATGGCTCTGGCCGGATCGGCAGGTCCCTCGAAGGCGACGATGATGAGAAGGCCGGAGCCGCCGGGTGTATCCGACGGAGGCACAGCTCGAGGATGCCCGCCTGGTCGCGCACCGAGAGCCGCTCGCCCGTGGTTTCCAGCTTCTCCCAGCACGCCCAGACGGCGTCGTAGTCCTGGCCGACCAGCGCAGCTCGCAGCGACAGAACGGCCTCCCTCGCCGGTCCGGGCAGTCGGTCGTGCTGCTGCATCGACGTGTCCGAGCGATTCGAGGCGGCGCGGCCGGCCGCATCGCGCCCGTTGGTGCTGCGTCCGACGAACTTTGCCGAGTCGCCGTAGCCGTTCCGTGGATGTCTGGGTCTCGGTGTGCGGACGCTGAAGTGCTGATCGCGCCGCGGAGGGCGAGCGGGCTGCTCTCCATGCGACGACGAGGACGCTCGACGGCCGGCGGCGGCGTCGACGGAGAGGGTGACGGAAGAGAGGGGCGCGGTGCTGGACGCAGCGCGGTGCCGCAATGCCACAAGCCGGCGGGCAAGCGCCGCGGCTGAAGAGGTGGCGGACGGATTCATCGATTTGTCGTCGCAATCGTTGCTGCAGTCGCAGTCGTCGTCGTCAGAAGCTCGGTGTTGGAGTGGCGGGTGAGGAGAGAGAGGACGAAGAAGAAGGAGCGAGGATGAGGACGGGGACGAGGACGAGCAGCAGCCCGGCCGTCCTTCCAGCCGCCGCGCTTTTCGCCGAGTCCCGACACCCGCAGCCGCGCTCCTTCTTCCAGCGCCAGAGCCGCGGGCCCGCCTGCTGCTGGACCCTCCTTCCTGCCCCGCGTCCGACGAACCGGGGTCCCGGCGAGCCCAGCAAGCAAGCTTGCCTGCTTCCTTGAGCACAGCCACCATCTCTTTGCGTACCGGACGACCCACCGCCGGCCCCGACATGCCTTGAGTCAGAGCAAGAGGAGGGCTCGCCGCCTCGTCGAGGTAGGCCGGGTCGAGCCCTCGCCATTCGCCATCATCTTCATCGCCTTCGCCCCTCCACTTCGCCGCATCGCCTCGATTCGCCCTTATCGTTCGAGCTTGAACCCGGACGCCCCGACGCTGACTCTCGACCCCGACCTCGACGCTGGGCTCTGGACGCTGTACGAAGAGGAGGCGACGGCGGATCGCCAGCAGACCGGCGCACATAACCTGATGTCTGGCTGTCTCCGACCTCGACTGGTCGTCGGCACAGATTCCGCTATCGCAAGGTATAGCCTGCGACCGCAAGCGCTCTATCGCTGGCCAACACGGCGAAATGGATCGCCTTCCGTCCAAGCCGGTCCGGCTCGTTCAGCAGCTCTCGCCTAACGAGCGCAAGGTCGCCTTCGCCTCCATCTGCATCTTCGGCGCCGTGCTCTCGCTAGATCGCCTCACTGCGCCCTCGTACCAGACCGTGGCTGCCAGCTCGCTCGATTCGCACTCGCTTCTGACGCTCGTCGCCGTGGTGCGGTCGATTGCCGCTGCCGTCGCAGGTCCCACCTCTGCGCAGCTCTGCGAGATGGGCGGCCTGCTCTGCGCCTACGTCGCTGGCGTCGTCCTCTACGCGGCGGGCTGCCTGGTGATGGCGTCCGCCCCGGACATCGCCGTCTTTGCGCTCGGCGGTGCGCTGTGAGTGCATGGCGTCGTTTTGGCACATTTTCATGCTTGTGCGTCGGGTCGAGAGGCTGATTGCTCGCGCTATGACTTCACCCTCCCTCCTTGCGCAGCTACGAGCTTGGCGCAAACGGCCTGATCGTGGCACAGTCGGTGCTGATTGCCAGCGCGACGTCGCCGAGGATTCGCCTCTTCTCCCAGACTCTGCCGCAGCTGTCGTTTGCGGTGCTCGGCTATCCGAGCGCGAGCATCTACGCCGCCGTCCTCAAGCGATGGGGCTGGCGCTCGGGCTTGGGCATGTTTGCCGCCCTCGGACCGGCCTCGCTGCTCCCGCTGCTGGTGGTCATGTTCAACGGAAGCAGAAGGACGGTCGAGGACCTCAACAGCGCCGCATCGCCCACGTTTGACGCCCGCCTTCGACCGGGCTGGAACGGAACTTCAGGCGATGCCGCGGCGAGAAAGGACGAGGGCGGAGCGGTCAAGCCTGGCGAGCAGCGCCGTCCCATCGAGCACATCGTCGCCTTGCTCCGGCGACTGTGGACGCTGCTGCAGCTCGCAGACGCGGTCGGCCTCTTCCTCTTGCTGTGCAGCGTCGCGGCCGTGCTGCTGCCCCTCCTCCTGGCGGCGAGAGAGCCCTCCGGCTGGAGCTCACCGCACATCCTGCTGCCGCTCGTGCTGGGTCTGGCGATACTGCTGCCGGCCTTTGCGCTGTGGGAGCGGTGGGGTGCCGTTCGACCCGTGCTGCCGGTGGATCTGGTCCGGAGTCGCGCCTGGCTGCTGCCTGCGCTAGTCACCGCCCTCTTTTGGGCCGCGCACGCAATCCAGGGGTCGTACCTGGCCACCTACCTCTACGTCGCGCTGGGCGCATCCGCTCGGGCGCAGCAGTCGGTGGCGGTCACGTACAGCGTGGCCGACTGCCTCTTTGGCGTCGTGCTCGTCTCTGCGCTGGTGCGCGCCACTGGTCGGCTGTATCCTTTCCAGGTGCTGGGCTTGGCCGTGGGCGTCGCCGGCATTGGCCTGATGCTGGCGCTGCGCACGTCGTCGGACCTGGCTCGGATCGCGGTGGCTCAGGCGGTCTTGGGTACGGCGGGGTCGCTGGTCGTCGCCCCGTTGCAGGTCAGCGTACAGGTGTCGCTCGACGAGCACCGGCTGGCGACTGCCGTCGGGGCGCTCAACCTCTTCAACGCGCTCGGCAGTGCCGTCGGATCAGCCGCGGCCGGAAGTATCTGGAGCGGCGCCCTGCTGCCGCGCCTCTCGAGCCAGGTCGAGCTGACTAGCGACGACGTCCGCAGCGTCTACTCGGAGCCGCTGGCGTGGATCCAGTCCCATGCCCTGGGCAGCGCCAAGAGGACGGCCGTGGTGCTGGCGTACAGAGGTACGTGGACGCTGGTCCTGTCGGCTGCTGCTGGTGTCGCCGGCCTCGCGCTGCTCGTCGGCCTCTTCCTCCCCAATCCGATCCTCGACAAGGAGAGGCAGGACAGCGGTCCGGTCGAGGGGTGAGGAGGCGAGACGAAGGCGGCGCAACGTCGGTCGACAGATGGCTAGGTCGGTTCTTCGGGCGGCCCGACGAGCCCGCGTGGCAGCGACCAGGCCAGGTCGGGGTCGAACCGGGTCATCGGAGACAAACCGAATCCGCCTCGAGCTCCTCTCGACACGCTTCGGCCATCAGCCGACGCCCTCGATTCGCACCATCGGAAAGCGGCCCGACGGCCGTCAAGCCTGACTGTACTCGCACTGACTTGGAGCATGCTCGAGCGCAATCCTGCAATTCATCTGCTCTACCTAGCCCCTTTGACGACCCCGGCTTGCCGTCCGCTCTCGCTCGGAAAGAGCCGCCGCGTCGGTCGTGAGCAGCGCTGGTCGACATGCCGTCGTCGCGCCGACGAACCAGCACGGGCCAGCTTGACCTTCGAGTCGAGAGAAAGGGGAAAGCGTGCCACGTCCGTCCATTCCGCGCCTGCCTCTGAGCTAGGGAGGTTGGTACCGTATGTAGCAGGCAGGCCAGGCACCCTGGGACCATCCGGGGGGGGCGCTAGCCTGCGCAAGGTGCGGCCGGAGAAGAGGCCGACGAGGAGGCCGAGGATGGACGAGCTGGCCGTCAAGGCCGAGCCAGGCCGAGGGGCCAGCGCCCGGCCGCGGCGGCTTGCTCGGAGCTTTTGCCGCCGCCCTCGAGTCGACCCCGATTTTTTCGCAGCTTAGCTTGCTGGGCTCGCTCCTTCCTCCACGCGGAGGCAAGCGGCAGCCAGGCAGGCAGGCAGGCCGGCCAGGGTCCTCTCTGGCACTGGGTTGGGTTGGGGCGGGCTTGGCTTGGCCTGCCTCGCCTCGCGGCTGGCTCCATGCCGAGCGAGGCCTCCCCTCCCTCCTCCATCACGCTTCTTTCTCTCTCTCGCGCTCTTGCTCTGGCTGCCTCTCTTTGCCTGCGCCTCTACCTCTGCCTCTGCCTCTGCCTCTGCCCCGACCCCTGACCTCAACCCAGGCTCGCGCCATCTTCTGCCTGCTCATCTTTATCCCCGGCCTGCAACGCACACAGCCTCGAGGGGAATGCTGGCCAGCTCCTCTTGCCTCTCTGTCAGAGCCTCTTGCCATCTGCTTCCATCAACGCGCTCTCTCTCGCTTTCGCTGCGACCACGATCGCTGCCAGCCCTCCAGGCCTCGTCTCGACTCCCACCTCGCACCATCGCCGCGCCGTCGATCCTGCCCCTCTGTCGCAACATCTCCTCGTCCGTCACCGCCGCCTCCGCCAACATGACCAGGCCCGACGGCACCTATCCGCTCGAGCCCTCCGCGGTCGTCGACCACGTCCACAGCGCCGAGGCGACGCAGGAACCGCTCAACGTCAAGCAGCAGCTGCAGCAGCAGGCCAAGCTCGACGTGCGGACGCAGCCGGGCAGCGCCGATGCCGAGACCCGGGCGAGGAACAAGACGGCGCCGCTGCTGGGCGAGGACCCCCTGCGCGGCCGCATCGACCATGCCGCCAAGCTGCGGCAGACGGCGCGCGACTTCCGCAGCGATACCATCACCGTGCCCACCGATGAGATGCTGCGCGCCATGGTCGAGGCGAGCCGCGGCGACGACGTGTACGGCGAGGACGACACCACCAACAGCTTCCAGGCCGAGATCGCCGCCCTGACGGGCAAGGAGTCGGCGCTCTACGTGCCGTCCGGCACCCTCTCGAACCAGCTCGGCCTGCGCACCCACCTGCTGCAGCCGCCCTACACGGTGCTGTGCGACACGCGCTCCCACATCCACCGGTACGAGGCGGGCGGCCTGGCGTTCCACTCGGCCGCCTCGACCGAGCTGGTGACGCCCTCCAACGGCCACCACCTCCGCTGGGACGAAGACATCCTGCCCAACCTCTCGCTCGACGACGACATCCACTTTTCGCCCACCCGCATCATCTCGCTCGAGAACACGCTCAACGGAACCATCTTTCCGCAGGACGAGATCATCAAGATCTCGACCGAGGCGCGCAAGCTGGGCCTCATCATGCACCTCGACGGCGCGCGCATCTGGAACGTGGCCGCCGAGACGGGCCTCAGCCTGCGCGAGCTGTGCGACCCCTTTGACTCGGTGTCGCTCTGCCTCAGCAAGGGCCTCAGCGCGCCTATCGGCAGCATCCTGGTGGGGCCGTCCAAGTTTATCAAAAAGGCCCGCCACTTCCGCAAGCTGTTTGGCGCCGGCGTGAGGCAGGTCGGCCCGCTCGTCGCGGCGGCGCGCGTCGGCGTGCAGTCCGTCTACCCCAAGCTGGCGGCCACCCACGAGCTGGCCCGGTACGCCGGGCGCGAGCTCGAGAAGCTCGGCGTCCGGCTGACGGCGCCCGTCGAGACCAGCATGGTCTTTATGGACACGTCGCCGCTCGACATCCCCATCTCGGAGCTCGTCGCGCGCGCCGCCTC